TTCTGCCTCTCTTAAAAAAAGACATCGTAAACACTGCAATCAAAATTGTTGATATCGTAGCGCTCATATTAAAAAAAATTAAATAAGACAATAGGGATAATAATCGATGGCGAAATAGTCGATTATTTAACAATCGATTATTTCAATTATTCCGATATCAATTAATCGTTCAAATACAACCACTATGTCGATTATAAGAAGAAAGTTCTAGATTTTTCTAAAATGGATAAGATACGATATGCGAAATACTGTATTCGATGTAAATTTAATCAATAAAATTATCGCACAAATAAAATTAATAAAATTCTAAAAGTATTTATAAAATTTATTTATTGACTTTTAATCAATATTTCCATTGACCTACCTAGGCTGCACTAAAAGTATCGGGAATGGAATATTTCCACTGTTCCTGTCATATTAAAATCTTTTTAATTGAAAACTACTTCGTTTTAAAAATCGAATACCATTTATTTGTTTAAAAAAAGATTCTCGGTCTTGTCACAAGGTTTTGTCAAACTTGTTTAGTCGTTGAGAAAATGGAATTGACTCGAGAAAATTCAAGAGCGATGATTTATTATGACTTTCGAAGTGGTTTAACACAAAAACAGTGTGTTGACCGGATGATTTCCGCATTTGGTGATGAAGCCCCATCCAAAACCACATTTTATCGCTGGTTTGCTGAATTTCAACGTGGACATATGATGATCCCCGTCAAGGTCATCCAAAAACTGCAGTCACCCAAGAAAACGTTGATGCTGTGCGTAAGCCGATTGAGGAAGATCAACATATGACATACCGCGAAATTCAGGCAACTTTAGACATTGGCATGAGTCAAATACAAATAATCTTGCATGAACAATTAGGTGTAAAAAAGTTGTTTTCCCGATGGATTCGCTCTGTGAAAAAGCGGCTCGCGTTGCTTGGTGCGTCAGAACTCTCGAAAGATTCCACGCAGGATCCTCAAATGCTGTATACAACATCGTATCAGGTGACGAATCCTGGATATATACGTAGGAACCCGAAACAAAAAACCAGTCACGAGTTTGGGTGTTCGAAAATGAGTTAAAGCCAACAAAAATTGTTCGTTCACGGAGTGTTGCAAAAAAAAATGGTGGCCACGTTTGTCTCCAAAACCGGCCATGTTATAACTATTCCTCTTGAGAGACAAAGAACGGTTAATGCAGAATGGTATGGTAGCATTTGTTTGCCATAGGTCGTTTCTGAACTCCGTAAAGAGAACTGCAACCGCCGCATCATACTCCATCACGACAATGCGAGTTCTCACACCGCACACAGAACAAAAGAGTTTTTAGAGCAAGAAAACATAGAATTATTAGACAACTTAATGATTTCTATACTTTCCCTAAAATAAAGAATAAATTGCGTGGACAGAGATTTTCATAACCTGAAGGAGCTGTGGACGCCTACAAAACGGCCATTTTGGAGACCCCAACTTTCGAATGGAATGGTTGCTTCATTGATTGGTTCTATCGTATGGAAAAATGTGTCAAATTTCGCGTAGAATACTTCGAAAAGCAATAAATACATTTTTAAATAGTAATGTTGTGTCACTTCCTTGATTCCCGAAATTTTCAGTGCCGCCCTCGTATTCTATTGATAACAAAAAATTAACATAGAAAGATTAGAACCAGTCAACCTATTCCTCATGTCATTAGCAATCAGGCAAGCCTCTAGTGTCTAGTCTCTAGTAGTCAAGTCTTTCAGAAGGCACCAATGTTGAAATAATTGTTAAGTGTTTAATCACCGCTTTATAATCAATGAAGTGTCACTGACTTTACAAAAAAGAACATATAACAAAACTACACATTGTTGCTGTCGAATAAATTTTCAATCTTTTTTTCTACTTGAAGAATGACAAAGATGTTATTATTATTATACAGGCAACGTTATCGATTTTATCTAATATAATGAAGTATCGATTAATTGAAATAAAATAATCGATAATTAACATAAAATAATCGATGTAATCGATTATTTTAATTTAGTATTAATCGATCGAGTCTTAAAAATTTTACAAGCGATTAATCGATAGTTCGAATAATCGAATCGATATTGAATATCACTAACTTACAAATTATATACCCTTGCGCATGGTTTCGCATCAATGAAGTAATCAATGATAATATTTATTATAGGGCAAAACTTATTTTACGCATGTTATTGCGTTCAATTCAAATTATACGCTGATAAAGTCCGTAAAATTAATTTAGTTTATATATTATAATTTCACATATTATAATCGTAATTTAGAATAAATAATATAATTACAGTTTATAATTTAAACAATATCAAATAATGTTGTAAACATAATTAGAAATCATGATATACGTTATATTAAATCTACAAACAACATAATTTTCTTAAACTTTTGTTTTAAATATATTATTTAATATATTATGTGATTGTAGTTTTCCAACCTCCTATAGTAGGTGATACATGAACACATCTTTTTCTGACTAGTTAACCATTAGAAACCAAACCGTTGGCAGACACTATGTAATTTAGCTGCGCATGGTGCTAGGTTTCAAATCAATTTATTCGGGAGACTAGAAGTCATAAGTCCGTGTGCAAGACAGCTCGTAATGACTATCGAAAACAGCATGTAGATGCAGTATAAAAAAGAAATCAACAGTAATTCGATGATGGCGTAATCGTCTTTTTTAAAAAACAAGATATTTTGTCCCACTTTTCCTTCTGTTTTACACTTGTGGCGTAGTGGAAGGGAAAAATTAAATAGCTCCTGAAGGACTTTGAATACCGTTTCTCTACTAACATGCAAAAGTTCTGTTGTAATTCTATCCTCATTAGGTACCTTGCCAATTGCCATTCTAATCTCTGTGGTAACTCAGATGATTAGCGCTCGCTGTAAATTTAATCCCCGCCGGTATCAGTGAAATTGATAATTACATTTTACGTGCTGATTTACCACGTGCTCGGCGGTTAAGGAAAACATCGTTAGGAAACCGTTATGTCTGAGAAATAAAATAAAAATATTTCAAAGAAATGTGAATTACGGCAACACGCATTGGGGTAGCGTGGCGAACACTTCTCTGCCGTACAACCCTCGCAGCAATGAGAGGAGGCCTGTGCCCAGCAGTGGGATGCATATAGGCTGTAACTTTAACTTTACTTCTAATCTCATTCAGATTGACGTCCGTGACTTCATTAGAATAATGTCCTAATGGATTTGCACTAAATCTCACTCCAGGTATCTTGTCGTCAGCCATGTCACTGAGGCAGTCAACAACCACTTCTAATTTATTTATGGTTTTTAAAAAACTAATGGATTGCGCTCACCTCGCAATAAGCGGAACCAATTTAATTGTAATAAAATTTTCTATTTAAATCCACATCCAATTCTGCTCAAGTAATTTTAGAGGAATTTACCCGCTGATAGTCTGGTTGTGCGATGATGGAAAGAGGTGTGTGGAATAATTTCTGCACTTCTATACTCACTATACTTCGCATACTCTCCGAAATGAATCCCATGGAATACCAAGAGGATGTCTACTCTGCATATGTGATCCAAATAGGACCACCAATAAGCCTCTTAATACGTCACTTCATTGACGTGTGACTTCCAACGGTGCTAGGTATTAACTTCAAAGCAAATGACGTCAACTATACAGGATTATCTTTCAAAGAGTAGCCAAACTGCAGTTTTTGAAATAAGGCTCTTAGTTTTATTAGAAATTATCCCAAATTGAATATGATTTATGGGGCAACAACGCTTTTGGCTACCGATTGACCCTTATGAATGTATGCGTGCGCAGTAAAATTAGTTAAAATAATGCATTACCACGCATTTTGAATTTAAAAGATAAAAAGGACTGAATATTTGAGATTTTTAATTAATATTCCTTCACCGTTTGCCTATATTACTTATTCTGAATCTTCTCTGCAAATTCAGCCGGCTATTGCAAAATAACTCTGTATATTACGGGGCATATCACCACGTATTTAAAAAAAATAAAACCGGTCAAGGGCGTGCCCGGTCATGTGTGAAATAGAGTTCTGCAATTATGCCACATAGTTTATCGTTAACCATTTGACATACGAAACTATTATGCCGCAGTCATTAATAAAAGCGTAGGCTGTATATAAAAAAAAGTTATTATGTAGCCGAGTGCGACCTTTATTTTGCTATTCCTTTTTTGTTTTTAAAGAAGTTACACCGCGCCAACATTTTTATAGATAATATTTTTTATTTTATATATTTTATAGATTTGATAATAGATTTTATAGATTTTATTCCGTATCGTTGGTGTCGTTTAAATATATAAATTGCAGGAATTCACACATTCAGACCCGATACTACCATTTGCAGTAACTTTCTTATTTATATTACAGTATATTTTTCCGAAGAGTTGTTCCATAATAATAAGGAAAGCATCAAAGCGTCACTGTCTATTATTACTACCTTCGCCAATCCACCTGTTTGTTGACCATGGTAGTTCATCCCTACAATAGAAAAAACTCATATTTTGCAGTGAGCAGTTACGGGATTGACACAAGATGAAGAAGAACGTCCGAGTGTCGTCATATAAGAGCTTTTTAGCTGAATATGTCCAACTTTTCTAAAGGGGAAATCGATACGAATTTCGAAAAATAAAAGAGCAAAAATTAAAAATTATTAATTAAAATTATTAATTAAATTAAAAATTAAAAAAGTGAACATAACTCTCCCCGTAGATTTCCTTATAGGTGGCAAAAATTAATATAAAATATCTACTTATTTATACAAACTACATATTTAATAATATATAATATACCTTTAATATTTCAGCGAATATTACTTAATCGTCTTTTTAGTCCTATTAGGTCTGAAAAAAATTGCTGTAATATCTAGAGAGACGCACGTAACTATGAGGGTCCGTAGTTTGATCACGGAACTCTAAAGAATAAATACTTAAGCCAAGGTCGATATCACGAGAGGCGATCAGTACGTCGAAAAAACATCTAACAGTTGTTAGTGCGAAATGTTTGACCGCGCGTTATTTCTTACACTTATTGTTGTTCTACTGTTCTGCGAAGCTGAGAATAGCCTGTTATCCAATATCGCTGAATCTACGCGGCAGTGGATGGACGATATAACAAAACTTCCGATTGTCCAACAAGTCTCAAAAGTATCGGGAGATGTAATGTCGCAAACTACTGACGTATTAACAAAACTACCACTTGCCGTGGCTCGATCTCTTGATCTTGATGAGATAAAATTTCCAATGTTCATAAGCGACAGCAATGTCGTGGAACTGACAGATCAAATCATCAACGAATTCAACGTCGGTCTTGATAACAAAGACATCACATTAAATATGAACGATTTAGTGACAAAATATGGCTATCCGATAGAGAGACATCAGGTAACAACCAAGGACGGATATGTTTTATCAATGTACAGAATTCCAAACAATGGGTCCGTAGTATTCCTGATGCACGGTCTACTAGGAAGCTCTGACGATTTTGTTGTAGCAGGCCCAGAGAGTGGACTGGCTTATCTTTTATCAACTGAAGGGTACGACGTGTGGATGGGCAACAGCCGTGGCAATAAGCACTCACGCCAACATCTAATCCTGGATCCTTCGCAGTCAGCCTTCTGGGACTTCTCCTGGCATGAGATAGGATGTTACGATTTGCCAGCTATGATAGATTATGTGCTCCAAGCTACTAAGACGAACAAACTGAAATACGTAGGTCATTCGCAAGGGACAACGTCGTTCTTCGTAATGGCTTCCGAAAAACCTGAATACAATAGCAAAATATCTCTTATGGTCGCGTTGTCACCTGTGGCATTCATGACGCATGTGAAATCACCGTTAGTGAAACTTCTAGCTCCAGGGACTCCATTAGCCCACAGCATGATGCAAAGCCTGGGTGTTAGCGAGGTTCTACCACACAATCTTGCGTCAAGGATTTTGAGACGGGTGCTATGCGGTATTGGACCGATGGCGGAAATAATTTGCAGTAACCTTATTTTCCTCTTCATTGGGTTTGACTTTGGACAACTAAATGTTACCAACCTGCCGGTGTTATATAGTCACATACCATCCGGTGCATCTGTTAAGCAATTCGCTCATTACGGTCAGGGTGTTGTATCGGGAGATTTTAGAAAATTCGATTATGGGGATGTCAAAAATTTAGATTTATATGGGTCGAATGTGCCACCTAGTTATAACTTGGAAAATATCATAGCGCCGGTCTCAATATTCTATAGTGAAGCGGACTGGTTCACTGACCCGAGGGATGTACATAAACTGTATAGAAGGCTAGGAAATGTAATAGAATTATACAAAGTTCCTTATGACCATTTTTCACATTTAGATTTTATTATAGCCAAAGATTTTAAGACGTTAATTTATTCTCGGCTACGTAAATTGTTGAGGGATGTTTAAAACAGTTTTAATAAATGCAATATAAATAGTTAGTACCTGGATGACCGAGCTTAGCTCGGTATTTTTTTATTTATAAATCGTGTGTTTTAGAAATTATATTTAGGTACAAATTACATACTGTGAAATATGAATACTAATATTTTTTGATCTGACCGACATAATAGAAAAAACTGAACTCGTTATTTGAATAATAAATCATGAGTGCAATTAGTTTAGTTTAAATTTTCGTGTTTTTAAGAAAATATTAAAAAAAGGGCTCGAAATAATAGATTTTTTCACAAAAGAACGGAACTTGAAAAAAAAAGGGAAAATTAGTCGGATCAAAGGCAGGACGCGAACCAAGGTACTACGATTTCATTACCGCTCAATATCCCATTTAAGCTATTACAATCATTAGCACATTGCCGAAATTTACCTTCTTATTCTAATGATATTGTAGCAGTTTTTCATTGCCTGAAAACACGGATAAAAAGACATTTTCTAAAAATGAATCCTAGCTAGATCGATTTATTGCCCCCCGAAACCCTCTAGACACTAAATTTTATGAAAATCGTTGGAGCCATTTCCGAGATCCCGATTATATATATATATATATACAAGAATTGCTCGTTTAATAGTATAGGATAAAGTTTATTCAATCAATTACAAATTTAGTAATAAACATATAACATAACAATAACATAATCAGAGGGGTAGACTACAGACTTCCATTTAGCACCACACCGAGATTCCGATTATATATAAATATATAGTACCCGGATGACCGAATTTTGCTCGGTTTTTTTAAGTTACATTTATATACAAATTACATGAATAATAGTTTTTAATCTTATTGACATAATAGAAAAAACTGAACTGGTTATTTGAATAAAAAATCATGAGTGCAATTAGATTAATTATTATTTTCGTATTTAATGATTTCTTATATTTACGCGAACATTGCACATGATTAAAACTACTTTGGGATTTTATCGCGTTTATTTTTTCTTACTTTTTATTTTTATTTTTAATTCCCGACGTTTCGGGCGCTTTCCAGCACCCATGGTCACGGGGGACTGAGATGACTGACGTCCCGATGTCATTGTTAAACCCGGAGTACCTTCAGCTTTTTTAATTATTGTTTATGGTCCGATCTGTGCAAAATGAACTGACTATGTCCTGAGGTCTTGCAGTGGTATGCTTGGGTTTAGTTTTAATTTTATTGATTATAGGATCCCAAGCAGGTGGTAGTACCCAGCCTCCTTCTCTATTGAAATTAGGATGTTTTTTAATTTCAATAGCCTCACGTATCATCCTTGGTAGGAATCGGTGTTCTTTCGCGAGGATTTGTGGTCTATCAAATCTGATGTAATGGTTGGGGCCGTCTAGGATATGATCACAAACTGCAGACTTCCCGGGAACGTTGATGCTTCACATCAGCTATATGTTCTTTTACGCGGGTCCTAATTGATCTTTTGGTTTGTCCTATATAAGAGAGACCACATTCACAATCAAGCTTGTACACTCCTGCATCTTGTAGAGGAATATGACACTTGACGGATGGTAGGAACTGACTAATCTTCTTCGGCGGCTTGTAGAATGTTCTAATAGAAGCTCGCTTCAAGATATAGCCAATCTTGTCTGTGACACCTCTGACATATGGTAGTACAGCAGGCACACGCTCGACTGTGGCCGGCTTCACTCGGTCACTGTGACGTAGGCGCGGGACCCGAAGCTTGTTGTCGTGCAGAACTTGCTTGACGTGCTGAAGCTCGGCGGCCAGGTGTTTGCTGTCACAGACCCCTCGTGCTCTCTGTAACAAAGATTTGCCCACGGTAGCTAACTGTGAAGGATGGTGGTGAGATTCACCGTTTAAATATCGGTTTGTATGGGTCTTTTTCCTATACACAGTGTGACCAATGGTGTTATTAGGATTTCGGATGACTAACACATCTAGGAAAGGTAAGGAATTATTTGCCTCTAACTCCATAGTAAATTGAATTTTAGCGTTTATGGAATTAAGATGTTCTAAAAATGCAGTTACTTTGTCTGATGGTAAAATTGTGAAAGTATCGTCTACGTACCGCTTGTAGATCCTTGGTGTAACAGGTGCAGTAAGGAGGGCTTTCTCCTCAAAGTCTTCCATGAATATATCGGCGACAATGGGAGATACAGGTGAGCCCATCGCCACACCATCTACTTGCTTGTAAAACTCTTCCTTCCACAATAGATAGCCAGATGTAAGGCAATGTCTTAGTAATACTACATATTCTGCTGGCATGTTATTTTTCTCTAGTTTCCTAGTTATAATTGAGATGCAGTCTTCAACAGGTAGGCATGTAAATAGAGACTGAACATCAAAACTGACCATGGTTTCATTGTCAGTAAGATGTAGGTCTTTTATCTCACTGACAAAATGGTATGAATCCTTAGTGTGTGCTCTTGTGTGTCCTCTGAGTGGTGATAATATTTTAGCTAAGTATTGAGCCAATCTGTAAGTTGGCGAATCAATCTGACTCACTATTGGACGTAATGGAGCATTCGGTTTGTGTATCTTTGGTAACCCATACAACTTCGGTGGTTTGGCACAGGAATGTATTATCGAATTAACGTCCAGATTCAATTTTTCGGAGTATTTCTTAATTAGATCGCTAGTTGTTTTAAGCGTATTAGTTGTAGGGTCTGTTTTGACCTTTCGATAAGTAGTTTCATCCGACAAAAGTTGTTGTATTTTAAAATTGTAATCTGACGTATCCATTATAACCGTAGAATTACCTTTGTCTGCGCGGAGAATCGTAAGCTTTGGTCTGTTGCGTAAGTTTTTCAACGCGTTAAATTCATTTTTGGGGAGATTTAATTTCGGCGCTGAACTTCGACGTAACATAGACGAGATGTCTTGACGTATGGCCTCTAAATCTTCATTACCAATATTATTTTTATACAGACAGTCCTCAACACTACAGATAATGTCCTCATACGGTATTTTTCGCGGTGTTATTGCGAAATTAATACCTTTTTCTAAAACTTTTATTGTGGCGTCGTCCAGTGTTTGTTTTGATAAGTTGTAGACAGCGCGTTGTTTATGATTCGTGTCTGTGGTCAACGATTTCGTATGTTGGACATTTGATTTAGTTGTTAATTTATGGTATTTATCAATGTGTTTATTTTTGCATTCATTGTATTTAGTTGTTTCGCGTTTATCTAAAGTTTCCATGCAATTTTTATAATCAAATGTCGATAAAACTGTCTTTAATTCACTGGACGAAAAACGTACCGATCTATATTTCATAAACAAAACCATAGACAATTCGTCCAGTGAATTAAAGACAGTTTTATCGACATTTGATTATAAAAATTGCATGGAAACTTTAGATAAACGCGAAACAACTAAATACAATGAATGCAAAAATAAACACATTGATAAATACCATAAATTAACAACTAAATCAAATGTCCAACATACGAAATCGTTGACTACAGACACGAATCATAAACAACGCGCTGTCTACAACTTATCAAAACAAACACTGGACGACGCCACAATAAAAGTTTTAGAAAAAGGTATTAATTTCGCAATAACACCGCGAAAAATACCGTATGAGGACATTATCTGTAGTGTTGAGGACTGTCTGTATAAAAATAATATTGGTAATGAAGATTTAGAGGCCATACGTCAAGACATCTCGTCTATGTTACGTCGAAGTTCAGCGCCGAAATTAAATCTCCCCAAAAATGAATTTAACGCGTTGAAAAACTTACGCAACAGACCAGAGCTTACGATTCTCCGCGCAGATAAAGGTAATTCTACGGTTATAATGGATACGTCAGATTACAATTTTAAAATACAACAACTTTTGTCGGATGAAACTACTTATCGAAAGGTCAAAACAGACCCTACAACTAATACGCTTAAAACAACTAGCGATCTAATTAAGAAATACTCCGAAAAATTGAATCTGGACGTTAATTCGATAATACATTCCTGTGCCAAACCACCGAAGTTGTATGGGTTACCAAAGATACATAAACCGAATGCTCCATTACGTCCAATAGTGAGTCAGATTGATTCGCCAACTTACAGATTGGCTCAATACTTAGCTAAAATATTATCACCACTCAGAGGACACACAAGAGCACACACTAAGGATTCATACCATTTTGTCAGTGAGATAAAAGACCTACATCTTACTGACAATGAAACCATGGTCAGTTTTGATGTTCAGTCTCTATTTACATGCCTACCTGTTGAAGACTGCATCTCAATTATAACTAGGAAACTAGAGAAAAATAACATGCCAGCAGAATATGTAGTATTACTAAGACATTGCCTTACATCTGGCTATCTATTGTGGAAGGAAGAGTTTTACAAGCAAGTAGATGGTGTGGCGATGGGCTCACCTGTATCTCCCATTGTCGCCGATATATTCATGGAAGACTTTGAGGAGAAAGCCCTCCTTACTGCACCTGTTACACCAAGGATCTACAAGCGGTACGTAGACGATAATTTCACAATTTTACCATCAGACAAAGTAACTGCATTTTTAGAACATCTTAATTCCATAAACGCTAAAATTCAATTTACTATGGAGTTAGAGGCAAATAATTCCTTACCTTTCCTAGATGTGTTAGTCATCCGAAATCCTAATAACACCATTGGTCACACTGTGTATAGGAAAAAGACCCATACAAACCGATATTTAAACGGTGAATCTCACCACCATCCTTCACAGTTAGCTACCGTGGGCAAATCTTTGTTACAGAGAGCACGAGGGATCTGTGACAGCAAACACCTGGCCGCCGAGCTTCAGCACGTCAAGCAAGTTCTGCACGACAACAAGCTTCGGGTCCCGCGCCTACGTCACAGTGACCGAGTGAAGCCGGCCACAGTCGAGCGTGTGCCTGCTGTACTACCATATGTCAGAGGTGTCACAGACAAGATTGGCTATATCTTGAAGCGAGCTTCTATTAGAACATTCTACAAGCCGCCGAAGAAGATTAGTCAGTTCCTACTATCCGTCAAG